ATTAACTAAAAAAATCAAACTGATGAGTTCTTGAGCAAAAAATTACTAGATGATATCGAGCAAAGTAGAGAAATTGAAGCTGCTGATTGACCACTAATTCATATCTCAGATAAAGACCGATTATTGTTACAAATTTTGGATTATTCTAAGGTTTTTGATCCACAGTTTTCAGCAAGAACCAGAGGAGCCCAGTAATGAGAGCGCTAAAGAGGAGAGAGAGAGAGAGGTGAATGGACACTAAGAGTAAATTTTCCCAAATAAATTCGCGCCGGAAACCCCACTAACCCTTGTCCCAAATTTTTATTAATAAACCGCATCTTTTCACCCTAATTTCGAGCAAAAACCACGGAATTGGATTTTCTATAAAATGTGATGATTTCTAACATTTTCGAAAATCATTTTAGGAAAATGAATTGGCAAAACAAACGAGATAATGCATGTCTGGAGTTTTCACACCTTTTCCACCCTGTTCTTAAGAACCAAACAGGCTTTAAGGAGAAAAATTCAGCAATCCAATCTAATGTCAGTCAATAAGGATGAATCTGTAAATATCAAAATGATTCTGCAATGATACTAGTGTAGAGGTTCATACTCAACTAGTCGGACATACTTATTTTACAAGATATTTTGTAATGGCAATAGTTCCCAACCACATGTAAAAGTAATGATTATTTGATGTGCATCAGGCTAATCCCTTTCATTCTAGCATTTCTGATGGAGAGCGGACGTAAGGCTTCGATCTGGAGGCGAGAAATCGTTGACGGCCTGGCGGAATGATATCGTAATCCATGATAAACAGTAATGAGTGTTACTGTTTACTCGTGACCCATTTTTGGGGTATTAGGTATTATTTTTCTCAATAAGGGGTTCTTTTGAAAAGATTGATTGAGAAGAATAATTGAAAGCAGAAAGAGAGGTTAAGATAATAACTAGAATTCACACTTAGGGGAATCACATGCAAGGACTTCACGCCCCAAAGTAGCAAATCACGTGCCAAAGAGCACGTCAAATTTTTTTTTTCATTAGTCTTTTTGTCATAAAGGATTACAACTTTTTTATAGAGAAAACTAAACCTAGAAATCAAATCAAATCCTAATAAAAGGGAAAGAAAGATAAAATCTCTAACAAAATAAAAATTTCAAGATCCTGAAAATCATAAATCAAATCCTAAGGAGAACTTGCCTAAGAATGGAGATTACATCAAATATTATTAAAATAAAAAAGATTCTAGTAAATCTTAAAATCTTGTAATCCCACGATCATCTTGCATCAAATCTCTCATTGTTAGAAAAAACTCGACCTTGAGTTTTGTAGTCGGAGAGTATAATGACTAACTTGTCCGGTGGAAAACATTTCGTTGTGGATTGTGAGATCTTCAAGATGAGTTGTAAGATCCGATATTGAGCTGGCGGTGGAGGCTGTGGGATATGAAGTCAACAATCAGATTAGCCTAGACCATGAGTTTGATTGCATATCGTTCTTACATTTGGCTTCTAGACTTAACTCAAGTTTAGGCTCTAGACTTAAATGGAGCTCATGTTTTGGATCAACATTTGACTCGATTTTCTGTTTGAGTTCAAGTTCTTATTCCCCTTCATGTTCGAGTTTAGGCTTGAGCTCCAAATCAATTTTCTTCTCTAGTTCTGCTTCTTGTTGGAGTTTAAGCTCGGGCTCTGGATCAATTTTTTGATCTTGTTTTGCTTTCTCTTCTGACCCAAGCTTAGGCTTCGGCTCAAGATTAAAAACTCAAGTTTTGGTTGAAGGTTCACATCTTGCTGAAGTTGAGGCACTTTTGTTGGCTTTGCTTCACGTTTTGAAGAGAAACAATACCTTCTAGATGGTAAGTAGAATATCCCCTCTCTAAAAGAGTTTTCATAGCTGCCCACTAATGGATATTTGAATGATAATGACTTTTATACCACCATTTTTTTAGCCTCTCTTTAGCCTACACAACATACAAAAGTTATCATGGTCAATAACCCTTACTTTACACCCATGTAACATGATGTCATCCTCCACTTACAATAGAAAATTAAGAAAAGAGAAAGAAATACTTCATCTCCTTCCCTCCTTAAAACAACTAAAGCAACAAGTGAACCCATCGCTTTTTCTCAAAAGAAAAAAAATTAAACCCATCCGTGTCCAAGATGTTTGGGTACACAACAATACCCAAAATGTGTCGGACATGGGGACAACACAGAAATTGCCAAGTCCGGGTAATATAGCTTCATATTAAGATACTACAGAGAACTGAACATATCAATAAGATTCTCCATTCCATCAAGCTCTCTAATGTGAGGAATGAATTAGCGAATTTAGTGATGCTCGACCTAACAATACCCTTTTACCCTCTCAATTGTATTCTTAAACTTGATCAATTTTCCAATGTCCTATGACGTGCGATTAGTTGTGTGCGCTGCCCAGTTCTATAAGATTCTAGATCTCGAATCTTTTAGCTAATCCTTTGCAGTCATGCTCGTCGAGTGATTATCGGTGGCAACTTGTACAAAATATTGTGCTCTTATCTCGATGCATCGACCAATCCACTGAAAAATAAAATCTCAAGTATGAGAAGCAACATATAATTCTATAGAGTTTTACAAGCTAACTCCACATTAGAATGAATGTACATGTTCATCATAGATCTATGCTCCTGATTAGTATAACAATTTGTCATCAATGAATATTAATCAGTAGTCTTCTGAGGCTTCTTTGTGGTTCCAACTCTGCTAAAGTCCAAGTTAGTGTCTTTTTCAATGAAGGCCCTCTCAACTGATACACAAAGAGTGGCACATAAGACCAAATTGTCCAATAGCTTCACACATATTGTCAAATAAACCATCAATGCATGAAAAGGAATCACTGCTTCACAGGTCTAAAGAGAAACTCATTCATGGACCAATCCCTTCTATTCTTCGCTCTATTGCACCAGCTGTTGTTCCTGATCATTGTTCCATGAATATCTGTGGTGGATAGCTCTAAGCCCACGAGGCCTTTTATTTTTTATCAAAGAGATGTATTCTCTGTTCTCAAGCCTTGTTCTTGAAACTTAGACATGCTGTCTAACTCAACATCAGCTCTTGCCTTCTCTTTGTTCTTCTGTTTAGCTCAGTCAATTGTTGTCTTTTGCCCTCTTGCTGTCTTTTACCCTCGCCTTAATGATGGGCGTAATCTTCTTACATCGTTTCACATTAGCCCTTCAGGCTAGCTGTGTTATTTGAGGCGATAAATGTCGCCACTAGATTGATGTGTACAAAGCTTGCACTTTACATTTGTCTTGTTATCGGGTCTAACTAACAATCTCCACTCTCATCCAGTATCATTTGAAGGAGCTTTGATGTGGTACCTACTCCGAATTTTGAGCCTCACCATCTTGATTTGGCGAGCTCTGGGAGCTAATAAACTCACGATTAATGCACTTATTAGTGGATTAAACGTCGTGAAGGGCAATCCTATGTAATAATGTTGCAATTATACATATTCAAAGAATTGTT